TTACCTTGGAGAGGCAGAGTCAGTAAAGCAGTGAATGTTGCAGGTAGGACTGAAACAGACTGGCAGAGCAATGAAACTCCCACGGCTGCAAATGCAGTCAAGTCTGAGATAGAGATGTTTTTGCAAGTCCAGAATGGCAGAAGATTTTGAAATATAAGTGCACTAACACTGTTATACAAGGACTTAACAGATGCCAATTCACTGAGTAAACAAATAAGCACAGCCTATCCCTGTGCCATTATAACTGCCTCATTTAAAGGGCAGTTTTGGCCAGAATGACAAATACTGTGAGTCACATGATGGGGAAGAGGTTGTGACTCTGCTCAGGAATCTACCCTGCTTTGGCTCCCTGTCAGCACAGCTAGAGGACTGATACCTGTCACGGCACAATGTCCATGTGTGACCAGATGGACCCAGTTTAGCCCCCTGCACCCTCAGGACCTGCACTCACCCAGCTAAGCATGTACAGCCAGTTAAAAACCACACCTGCACACAGCCTCACTACTCACTCTGTATGGGCGTTTGACAACATGCACGTAGCCTTTATGCCTGCATATTTTCTTGCAGAGTCTGAAACCAGACTGATAAACACCTCTTCAAACTGATACTCGGCTTCATTCTCTGTTATCCAAACATTTCATCAAAGGCCACTTACCTACAAAGCAGACATCCCAACTCGAGCCAGACACGCCACATACCAAAGCCTGTTGAAAACAAGGAACCTAACCTACATTTATCCACTAATAGTGCAGAGGTGACAGCCACTATTTTGTATCTGCAATATTTTGCAAATTCTAAAAGACTTAAATCTCGTAAGGTGATTACGCCATTAATTAGCGGAACGTTATCATCCCTGCGGTGCCAACACAGCAGCTGTTTCAGCTGAACAGCAAAGAAAAGCCAAGAGGGCAAAGTAACATAGTGATAGTGCCCCCACGAGCAGCCCAACTGTTCCGAGCATCCTGGTGCTGCCACCCCATGATAGGGAACCACTCTGGTTCCAGCAAGGGAGGACCACAGCTCTTCCCACCACCCCAACCACCCCCACCTCCCAGAGGGTAGTATCCCCTCTTCCACCTGGGTACATGAGTAGGGGCTCTATCAAAGGGGATATCTGTTGCAGCCTGAGCCCTGTATTTCTCAGTATATGGGTTTTCCCAGGAAGCTGTCCATACATAGCTTATCAACCCAGAAGGGATCTCTCTGGTCATTCATCTCTCTGACTCTCTGCAAAACGGAGATCATAGAGACTACCTCAGTGATCTCCCCTTCAAACTGCAGCACGAAAAAGAAAAGAAAAAAATAAAATCCCAGGAAGATACCCTGTGACACAGCAGCTGTCGTAGACTTTTGATCGGTTGCTCTACGAACAGGGCTTCATTTATAGCTTAAGAAATTGTCTGGTTAAACTGCCAGTTGCAGAGCCCTGCTCCCGCACTGTGAGCTGGGCAGAGCAGCCTCCCATGGGCAGCTTCAGTTCCTCACACAGGCACCTCCAGACAACAGCTGCATCACCATGTACCCCCATGAAGGGTCAATGATCAGGCCCAGGCTGATGCAGCTGGCGATAAGGGACAAGACGAAGGATTATGGTGACTGAGGGGAAGGCTGGGACCCCTGTCCCAAGCAAGGGACATTTGGACAGCCACCAGTCAGGTCCTACAGGCACTGGCTAAGGATGCCACGTGAGAAACACTGCACCACAGTGAGTTTTGCACCACAGGCTGAAGATGGGTGGGCAGAAGGAGGACGATCCTCTTCACAGCACCACCCATTGAGATGACCACAGACTGCAGCTGTAATGTTCTTTGTCATGTCAGTGCAGGGCCCATGGTGTGACCCTGCTGGGGCTCATTCCCTTCACCAGAGGCCTGGGGCTGCACTGGTGACATGATGGCGCTGCCCTCCCAGAGAGGGATTCTTGGCAGTGAGGCAGTTCCTGAAAGGTCCACCTTAGGCTGTCATGTTACGCTTTGCCTTGGGCCCCTCTATGGGCCCAGAAGCAAGAGTGAAAGATCTCCAGAGTATCAATTATGGCACCAGATCTAGCCTGGAGCTGGCTATATCCTCTGAGAGGGTTGGGAGCTAAATTCTGTTAGACTGAAGACATTTTGATGTCATTTTTGGTACTTTCCACACCACTCTGCCACCTTAATGCCATCACCATTCTTCCAGAGAGCACTTGCTTAGAAATATCCCTAGTGGGACAGAAACATTGCTGAATTTGGTGCACCGAGCGAGGGCCCCCGAGCAGCACCAGCAGTGCAATACCAAGTTCCAATCCATCCCTCCCACAAGAAATGGGCTGAAGGATCTGGTTCATCTTCAGAGCATGTTACGTGGCAGCAGTGGCAAATCCCTCATATAAAGTCTGCAAGCAGCCATGGGGCTTCTCTTAGTTTATGCAGATTCAGGTCAAGAAAGAACACAGTTTGTTTAAATATACTTTTGTCTCCTCTGGGAGAAGAGGAAAGGCCTTATATTGCCCTGAAAATGAGCAGGATCCCAAACACCTTTCAACCCTTGAAAGGATTTATCCATCACAGTCTCAAAAGTAGTGATACAGAAAAGAAAAAACAAGTTGTTCATAAAATATGGGGACAACTTAGGAATTTGCTCCCAAAAGCCTATGATAAAAAAACTCCAGCTGAGATTCAAACTCTACATTATATTCCCCAGTGCTCTGCCTCATCTTTCCTTAAATGCATGAGGCACAGGGCTTCTGTCACTTCTTTGGCACGACTGCTTAGAGTCTGAGAGGTTTTACTACTCTGAGGAAGCTTTTCCTTCACATTCAGCTTAAATGTGCCATTTCTTGAAGTCATCCCCTTGTCTTTCATACTCTAGCAAGCAGAACAAGTGTAAATTAAATGGAAGACACATGAAATCTTTATAAAGCCCAGTGTTTCCCCTAGCATTAAAGTTCCTTCTCTTTGGAGTGGAAGGGGTCTTCACTCTGTGCTGTATTTTTCCCTATCAGAAAATGAAGAATATAAATTTTCCTCATGACTTGAATTTAGCTTAATCAGCAGCCCCCTGCTGATGTAATTCAACCCAACAAGATTTTTCTTTTTTTTTTTTTTCCTGGTGAGCTGCTGCCCTTTTTCCCCTCCTCCCACCAATTCAGGCACGAAAAACAAGGGAGGAATTAGACAGACAGAACTTATTATCTATCAAGTTGTAACTTCAGACTGGGCAGGAATAACATTTAAAATACAAAAAGCAAATTTTATCAAGCCTTTTCCTCCCCAGAGACTGACACAAAAATATTCCTTGTTTGTCGCTGAGAATGAACCATTTTTCTCTTTCACTTCTGCTTTCTGTCACATATTTCATTTTGGCTGCCCCTTCTGTCTTTCAGCTAGGGACCTAGGCTGCTAATGCAGAATCACAGATAACTCAACAACAAAACGCCTGTATTATCTTTTTTTTTTTTTTTTATTTTATTTCTAGTCTGCCAGGTAATTGCAATCCTAAAAGCTTTTGCATATTTACCACAGAAACATGTCTCTCCTGGAGGATGGGACTGTCATCAGGTAGAATATTTCATTTAATAAGCCTCTTCTGAGGTATAAACTAGGGTTGAGGATTTTTTTGCTCCTTCAGAGCAAAGGACAAGCAGATAAAAATCAGCTGCTGCAGTGTTACACTGTCAAAGTTCCTGTTCCTGTGAAAATTAACTCTTTCTGAGCTCAGAGTTCAGGTAGGCTTTGCCACCCTGAAGTTTAAAGTAGGAAAAGGGTCTGTTATTAACTCATGTTGGCTTTTTGTCCCCAGTCCTATCCATGTATGACAGATTTCTTTCCCATTTACAAACAGAGCAACTACCCTGGTTTTCTGTAACCCATCTGATGAGCTGTGGATGCTGCCAGGACTGATTGTCATTAAATCAGTCACCAAGAAGGATCGCGTTTTCCCCCTTTGCCTGTTTCACAGAAGTGCAACAACAAAAACATGGTCTGAACATTTCCAAATTCAGCTATTATCTAAAGATAAATTCTGTTTCCCCCCTCCCACTATTTTCCCCCACCCCTGATGTAGCAGAATTGCTTTTCTCAGTCCTTGAGATGTTGACTCAAGCCGACTGGTACCAAAGTGAGGGGCTGAGGAAAACATCTACGGAGAGACTTTGTGTCTTGGAGTCAAGACGGAGGGTGAGGACGGCCTTCCAGGGGTTATGAAAAGAGGCTGCTTTGCTGAAACTGTTCACCAGAATGAAGAGGGATATAGCTGGTTCACAGGTTTCACATCAGGCACGCCTTAACAGAGGTCAGAACTCCATTCTAGCACATAACAAAGCACTGTGAGTGGGAATCAACAGACCACACCCAGTCCTCAGTCCAACACCAAATCACTGACAATACTCATTCAGCTCTACCAACAGCTTCCCGCATGGCAATAGGTGTTTCCAGCCTGGCCAGGCTGTCTGCTTGCTGGGAGGAGAGTTCACAGGAGCCAGTCAGAATACTCCCATTGACTCTAGCAAGCTGCACAGCCTGTGTGAAAACTACTCCCTGACAAAGCATCATCTGCATCCACACAGTTTTCCTGTGGGTCAATCTCATTCTTGTAAAATCCCTGTTTTCACATATGAGTAAACACTGGAAGACATATTTGAAATATAGATTGATTGTTTAGGTTAAAGTAACACTGACACCAAGAACCTACATGCATTTACTTGGAATAGAAATGTGGACTCTCCAGAGACATCCTCTCATCTGGAAACATTCCCAAAGAGAAGAGAGGTAAAAGGCTTTCTAAATTGGAACTGGAAAACTCTATTTTTACAACACTTTTTAACTATTTACAAATTTACAATGGTTTTCAATGCAAGTAAACTCCAAGGGGTTAGGACACCAATTTTTCCTATCACCAGCAAGCCATTCTAAGACCCATCTTTGTTTAGGATTAAGGGATGACTTTCATTCATTTACCTGAATGTAGCAAAATTCCCATAGGTAAAATACTTCTAGTTATGTTACATGAGCCCAGTCTCTTACCTGTAATATCTGGATTGAAGGTAGGTAGAACACACAGCTTTAGATACATGGCTAGCTGAACCAAAGTCTATGACCTTGACCCTATATGGCTGTCGGGATGGGTCTACCAACATGATGTTCTCTGGTTTGAGATCAGCATGAATCAGTCCCAGGCTTTTCAGCTTCATTAGGGCAGTTGCTACCTGCTGGAGAATTGGTCGAATGTACTTAAGGGGCAAGGGACTGAATTTATTTTGTTTTAGGAAATCATAGAGGTTCTGCTCCAACATTTCAAAGACCAAGCATGTGTGATTCTTGTGCTGGAAGCACTCGTAAGCACGGACAAAGTTGTAGTCATCCGCACTTTCCGTGCTCAGCCGAGCCAGGATGCTCACTTCAATCTGGCCTTGCCGGGCATAGGAAGGGTGGTTTTTTAGGATCTTGATAGCCACAATCTCATTAGTGCCACGTTTCCAGCATTTGACTACTTGTCCGAAGGTTCCACGGCCAAGAAACTCTAACACTTCGTACGTGTTGGTCATGGAACAGAGCACCTCATGTTGCACCAGCTGGTAATCCCCTTCACTGTTGGAGCCACTGTTTTTGGAGGTGGCTGTGGAAGTGGTGGCGGTGGCTACAGTGGCCCCACTGGCATTGTTCTGAATCATTGGTGGATGCTCCTCGATAATCTGCACGCTGCTTGTGTTCTCAATCTCCTCACTCTTGCGCTTAAGTCCACATTTTTGGTAGGTGTCCAGAAGGCTCACAGTGCTGCGACGCATCAGGTTGTGTGGCCCGCCCAGTGTTTGCCCAGACACTGCAACCACACCAGAAGTGCTGTTGGCAGATGTCACCACGATGTGCCCCGTGCTTGCTGGGAAGATGATGGTCTGTTCGTAGGGGATGCTCGGATTGGGGATCTGGAGGGAGGCGTTGACGGCTGCTGCGGCGGCTGCTTGGGAGGACTGCACGTTCTTGCTCTGGCTGTAGACTTTGCTGTGTGTGCCGTACCCAGTCATATCCCAGTTTGAACTCGGCTCCACTTTCAGTTTCTTCACGCTACAGAAGGCACTTGACTGAAGGGTATGAGGAGAGAAAACTTGCACATGCGAGGCCATACCTGCAATACAACATCAGAGTGAAACCACAGTGTCAGGATGCCATCCCCAGCTTTTTTCATTTGCTCAGTGGCAGGAAAGGGAAATGGGACACAGGCTTCAGACACAGCACAGACACACACATGCAAAAATCACATTCTTCCAGAAATATGTATTCAACAGAAATAAAATACTGTGCTCTAAATAAATCACTACCTCTGATTGAACTATACTAACAACATTCAAGATTTCTGCTCTCTTGCTCTCCCCCTTCTCATTTTTAATAACAGGAATGTACATGTTATTTTTACCTCCTCTGTCTAAAGAGACTCCTATTCCCATTGTCTCCAGAAATATATCTAGCTCTCTGGAAGAACTCATGTCAAATACTGCAAAATATTCTGACTACAGAAGCCAAATTTCAAATCCTCAGGCTCATCCTGTATTAAGCACTTTGGTGGATCTGACTTAAGCCCTCCATTTATTTCCATAAAACCACTGTGTAGCTTCTGGCCTGCAGAGAGTCAAGATGGGACCAGGAGACGATACACTGTGACAAAATTGAGGTGCACAGATAAAGTTGAGGAGCCAGGGCAGAAGAAGAGGATGTTTCAGATTGCTTGCCAAGTCTGCGTGTGGGAATCGTGCACAATGCTGGTCTGTGCTCAGGGACAGTGGAGATAGGAGTTACACAACATGAGCTTTACTGTGTGCTCTCAGTTCTCCCAGATTTATAAAATTGTGTTCATCTATTCTTATTCACAGTGACAACACCATCACTGGGAAACTGATCCCCTGCAAATTAACAGCATTGTTAATGAAGCAACGTACATATTAGCATGTGGCAGAATTAGCTCTTAATATAACTTTACTTTTAAAGAAAAGACAAAATCCTATTTTAATGCAAGCTTCTTTGGCTCCAGGAGAGTTAACGATCTTCTAAATCTTTATTTAAAAAAACTAAACACCAAAGAACAACCCCACAAACTTCATAATCGAGGCAAAAATACAGTATCACTGAGACAGACTTACTGAAGGACTCTGAGTAATATTCCACTGTCACAGAAAATGTGTCTATTCAGAAAAAAAGATGTGGTCCACAGAAAAGGGGACATCTAAGTCCTTACTTGCTCCAGCTTTCCCTGCCCAGGGTAGGGATAGTACCACTGGGGCAAAGGTACTGTGAAGAACACAAATCCATGGGGATTCCTAGGGAAGGAGTGAGCACCTGACAGGAGTTAGAGCAGAAAGGCACAGCCTCCTTCACCTTTCTATCTGTCGTCAGTGTTTCTTTTTAATAAACCAGAATGACTAGGGAAGGAAAAGACAATGTGCTGAGCTGGCACCATTGCTGAATTATTAAGCACAAACATAACCTTGACTTGTTTTCAACTTTAAAAAGTTAAAAGCTGAATAAATGCTTCAATAACAAAACCACAACAAAATCCGCAATGCACATGGATGACTTCTTCATTTGGAGGACTGACAGTATCTGACACTCAGCTCTCCTCCAGACCATTTTCTGGAGCTCATATAGGCTCACACACATGCATGAACTTATACACTCACATAGAAAAATATGAAGGTTACTCTACATTCACAAAATTCAGTAGCATGGTGAAGCAAACAGACCTAAACACATCCAGTGCCCATTTTCTAGTTAATTCCCAGCTGCCCAAAGCCCAGGAACTACTCAGGAGAGGGATGCTGTGGTAAGCCAAAACCCACCATACATAGCTACTAAGAAGTAACCAGCAAAGCGATCGCTCCAGTTTGCTTCAACACTCCCACCTTCAGCCCTGCCACAGTGACACATTTATGAGGACAAGGCAGACGCAGAAGAAAACCCCCATTGGAACACATGGGGAAACCAACCCTCGCCCCTGTTTGAACACACCGCACAAAACCCCGCTGACCCTGCTCTGACAATGAAGCCCTGCAAACCACAGTGTGCTCCCCTCTGCAGATGTGCTCCCTAGCTCTAAGGGGATTTCTGACGCTGTTTGCTGTCATTCCTTTTAACTCCACTCCCCCCTGCCTCTCAACCTCCTTGGCAGCAATTTCCAAGGTCCCCACAACCAGGTACTCAGACCCCCTCCAGCTCCCTGCCCCTCTAAGTACTTGCTCTCCTCTCTCCACAGGGCAGTGCTGCCACGAATGCTGTAGCATGTGGCATGTGGTGAGCTCGGAGAACCGCAGCAGTATTACTCAACTTGTCATCCTGGACACAAGGATCGTATGTGAGTGAGCCAAAGCTGTGTTTGTTCTTCCACTGATTAAGAAGAGTCACAGTGTTCCTTCTAGTACAGTACCAACCTGCCTAGAGAGAGTGGGGTTGGTTTGATGTATGTTTTCCCCCTGGACGCGAATAATGTAACAGATGTAATTGGTAACATATTGTGGACCTAGCAGAGGTGTAATTTATAGCTTTATGGCTTTCATTCCATGGTGTGCTTGAGCAATCTCTCTTCGTACAAAATAAAAAGGGAAAAAATGACTGACGCAGAACAAGACGAGATGTTCTTCTCACACACTCCTCTAAAGACAACACGAAACGACCGAGGCACCCCAAATTAAAGTCAAGGATGTGAAGTGCAGCAGCTGCAACTTTCTCAGTGCCACTGTAAAAATCAGGATAATAGCCACCATTAAGGGACAGACTTTCAACTGGTGCAAACTGGCAGTACTCCAGTTGACATCAGCTGACGCTAAAAACAAGGTCAGCAGTCACTCAACACTGTCAATGTCAGATGGCTGCCTGTGCCCATTGGTGAAACGAGTTGTTGTTAGGGACTGGTTTCCACATCAACAACCAGCCCCTTGCTGGCAGCCTCAGCAGGGGAACAGGAATAGGGGATAAAATCACTGACCCACACTGGTACCCCAAAAACAGAGGGTGTGGAGGAAGCAGTGCTTTCTTGCGGATAAAGGGAGGACTATAGACTCTTGCTGCCACTTCCACTCTCCTCAGAGGTTATTTCCCATCACAGGAGAGGTATTTTTTTCCCCTAAAAAAAGAACTATGAAATCTTCTTCCTTCCAATCAAAATGTTTTTCTCATGTTTGAGGTTTTAGGGGAGAACAATTCAGTGAGTCCTTCAGCATAGTCCGATACTAAGAAATTACAGGCTGATTGACAGCTCAGTGATGGGAAAAAAGGCTTCTGCAGCCAAGTAATTTTTATTGCAAATTTGCCTGTGCAGTTAATGCGAGAAAAACACAACCCTAAATTTCCTAAGGACACAATCAAACTGTGCTGGTGGCATGTTCTTTTTTTCAAAAAGGATCTTTGCTCCATGGGAATAGCAGAAATAGTAATAAATGTGAATAAAAGTTGGATGGTTTGTTACAGGGATCAAATTCCTCATTACAGCCTGTAATATGATTTACAACTTCAGCCTTTTGATTACATAGGCTGGCAACAGCTTGCCACCGTGTCCATGAGGCAACATGCCAGTAGTAATGGGGTGACCCATGCCAGCCAAGCCCAATGACACTGATGCTTCAGAGACAGTGGGGATGTCCTCAGAGAGCATCCTCACTCCTGGGGTCTTGGAAAGACAAGAGGGGTCACAAGCCATGGAAAATGTAATGTTTCACTTTGGAAAAGTTCTCGTAAACCCCCACTCCCAGGTCTGACAAGAAACCTCCTGTGCAAGACTGTGCCTTTCATGTCACCTCCCTTCGCCTGCAGGAAGATCCTAGCAGTCACCTTTCCGCTTTCTGCATGGAAGGGCCCAAGGCTGGCACCCAGCTCCTCCTCTTTCTGCTCTCCACCAGGAGCAGAGAGGGTAAGGATACTCAGGTTGAGCAGCTTTGCTCACCGAGCACTCCTGCTCACCTGAAGCCCAGCTCAGCAGCCCCACCTACACCAGCAAAAGCTTTGGCTGGACTAAGGCAAGTGGCAATACCGGCTGAGCTTGGTGCCTGCCTTGGCAGGGGTGCAGGGCAGCCCCCACAGCCTCAATTAGCCAGCCAGGATGCAGCCAGGACTCTACAACAGTTAAATGCTCATCCTGATGAGTGCAAGTCTAAGTTTTATATCACCCCGAGCATGGCGAGTTGCTGGGGTGGGAGCAGAATCAAGGCTGGGCACCATACATTAAATAAAATTGATAGTTCCTTTCTTTAATAATGAGTTTTAGTGCAGCCATTTAAAGCTCTCACACAACTGACAGTAACTGGATTTAATGGGGCCTTCCCTGTCCTTGATACGACTCACGTTAACTCCCCGTAGCATCGACATGAGCTGAAGTATGTAGCATGCAGCCAGGGGATAATGTTAAAACATCTGGAACGACTTTTATTAAAAGACTTGAGGGGTTTTTTTCCTGAGAACTCCTCCCACGTCAGCTTTCACTTAATAATAATTTAGCAGGTGCTATTTACAATTCAGATGGCCCTCTTCTGCATGCATACACAAATCATGCAGCCGCCTCACTTGTACTTCTAAGAGGTCTCAAGAAAGCAAATGAGGTAAAGCTCCCTATCCACCCACCTCACCCCAAAGGGCAAAAAATACACTTTGGGGACTAAAGAAGGAACAGTTTGCAAGTCACTGATGTTTTCTTCTGCTTTACTCCTAGCACTTACTGTTGATTTATAAGGGTGGCCTTTGTGGTGGCAAGAGACCAAGCCCCTGCCCTGTATTAAGTAGGCAGTAAGACCTTTTGCAGTACCTGCAGAGCTCTGTAACCAGAGGCTGCTTGCTGACGGCCTCCAGAACGACAGTGCCTGCTTGAAAAATACTGTAGAAAGCACATGGCGTGTGTTCAGCATATAAATGATGCACACAAGACACTACTGAAATAAGTATCTTCCACTTCTCCCCAGAGAGGCACAAGCCAGAAAACCCACATACACACCCAGGTTGAGAAGGCAATGAAAAGGGGATCTGCCAGGTATGGCTAATGTACTGCACCTTCAAAATAGCCATGTCCTCACAGTGGCCTCTGTGTAGCCCTTTTTGAGGCACTGTCCCCCAGTACCACTTGGAATCTCCTTAAAATTTATGTCCCTGGAG